GCCTGTGATTTTACAGAGCGTCCTTCAATTTAGGTTTCTCAGAGGAAGTTAATCATGAGAGAACATGATTACATTCAAGTAATGCATCCCCAGCTGGAATACTACATAAATGATGTTGGTGTTTCTCTGGGAAGCGTAACTACGGACACGTGATGCCCACTGTCGCTTATCAGTGATACTACTTTTGATCACTTGGTTAAGGTGTTGTCCATTTTCTTGGCTGTGTAATTTCCTATTTTTTTCTTTTAAAATTAATAGGTAACTTGTGGAGACATGTTTTGAAATTATGTGAATATCCTATTCCTTGTCAAGCTTTCATCCCACCCAAGATTTTGGCCATACATATATGGATTTATTTTTGGACCCTCAATTCTATTCCATTACCATGTGCCTATTATACCAGTACCAGCCTGCTTTGATTACTGTAGTTTTATAGTATGTTTGGAGTCCCTGGGTAGTGCAAATGTTTAGTGCTCCACTACTAACTGGAAGGTTGGCGATTTAAGCCCACCTTGGAAGAAAGGCCTGGTGATCTGCTTCCAAAGTCACAGCCGCGAAAGCCCTACAGAGTGCAGTTCTACTCTGCGCACATGGGGTCGCCATGAGCCAGAATCAACTCAATGGCAACATGTTTGGTTTTTTTAATAGTATGTTTTGGAAACAGGAAGTGTGAGTCCTACTTTGTTCTTCTTTTCCAAGATTGCTTTGGCTATTTTGGGGCTCCTTGTAATTCCATATAAATTTGAGGATTGGCTTTTCCATGTCTGCAAATAAAGGTTTTTAACAGGCATGGTGTTGAATCTATACATTGCTTTGAGTAGTACTGGCATCTTAATAATATTAAGTCTTCCAGTCCATGAACACAGTATGTCTTTCCATTTGTTTAGGTCTTCTTTATTTCAGCAATGTTTACAGTTTTCAGTGTACAAGTCTTACGTTTCCTTGGCTAGATTTATTCCTAGGTACTTTATTCTTTTAGCTGCTATTGTAAACACAATTGTTTCTTTAATTTCCTTTCTGATTGCTCCTTGCTGGTGTATAAAAACCCAGAAGATTTTTGTGTGCTGACTTTGTATTTTGCCACTTTGCTGAATTCATTTATTACATCTAATAAGCTTTCTTGTGGGTTCTGTGGGGTCTTCTTATATAGGATCATGTCATCTCTGAAAAGGGATGGTTTTACTTTTTTCTTTCCGATTTGGATATCTTTTCTTTCTTTTTCCTGACTAATTGCTCTGGCTAGGACTTCCAGTACAATGTTGAATAGCAGTGGTGAGAGCAGGCATCCTTCTCTTGTTCCTGATCATAAGGGGAAAGTTCTCAGTCTTTCTCCATTAAGAATGTTAGCTGTGGCTTTTTCATAAATGCCCTTTATCATATTGAGGAATTTCCTTTCTATTCCTAGTTTGTGTGATATATATATATATGGATATATATGTGTGTATATATATAATCATGAAAGGGTGTTGGGTTTTGTCAAATGCCTTTTCTGTGTTGATTTGAGATGATCATGTGGTTCTTTTCCTTTGTTCTATTAATGTGACACACTATATTGATTGATTTGTGTATGTTGTACCACTCTTGTATTCCTGGAAAAAATCCCACTTGGTCATGGTGTGTAAGAGTCCCTGGTTGGTGCAAACAGTTAAGTGCTTGACTAGTAGCCTGAAGGTTGGTGGTTCGAACCCATCCAGAGGTGCCTCAGAAGACAGGCCTGGTGGTCTGCTTCCGAAAGGTCACGGCCTTGAAAACCCTATGAAACATTTCTACTTTGCACACATGGGGTCGCCATCAGCTTGGCGGGCAATTAACAATAACAACAACATGGTGTATAATCCCTTTGATCTGGTTTTGGGTTTGGTTTGCTAGTATTTTGTTGAGGATTTTTGCATCTATACTCACGGGGGATACTGGTCTCTAGTTTTCTTGTGGTGTCTTTGTTTAGCTTTGGTATCGGGTTAATATTAGCCTCTTAGTTTTGTCAGTCTAGCTAAGTTTCTCAATTTTACTGATCTTTTCAAAGAATTAACTTCTGGTTTGGGTGATTCTATTGTTTGTCTACTCTGTTCTTCATTTATTTCTGCTCTGATCTTTGCTATTTCCCTTCTTTTGGTAGCTTTGGGCATGACTCGCTCTTCTTTTTCTCGTTCATCAAGTAGTAAAGTTAGGTTATTGATTTGAGGTCTTTATTCTTTTTTAATCTAAGTGTTTACTGCAATAAATTTCCCTCCGAGCATCGCCTTTGCTGCATATCGTGTTTTAGTATGTTGTGTCATCGTTTTCATTCAACTCTAAGTATTTTCTGATTTCTCTCTTTATTTCTTAATCGACCCATTGGTTGTTTAATAGTGTGTTGTTTAATTTCCACGTAATTGGGAATTTTCCAGTTTTGCCTTTTCCTGAACATGAGTGAAATCCTATAGTATGTAGCTATTTAAGCCTAGCTTCTTTCACGTAGCATAATGTATCTGAGATTCATCCATGCTGTTGCTTGTGTCAGCCTTTTCATTGTTGAGTAGTATCCCACTGTGTGGATTCACCACAGCTGGTTTATCCATTCGCCAGTTGATGGACATTTGGGTTGTTTCCACTTTCTGAAAGGTATCGCTATGAGCATTTTTGTGTGAATATAAGTTTTCATTTCTCTTGGGTAAATGCCTAGTAGTGAGATCGCTGGTCAGATGATAAATATATGTTTAACCTGATGAGAAATTGCTAAATTGTATTCCAAAGTATCTGTACCATTTGGCAATCTCACCAGTAATGAATGAGAGTTCCACTTGCTCTATTTTTATCAGCACTTGGTATTATATATATATATATATACATATATATCTCATTCTAACAGATGTTTCTTTTATTGATGTCACTTAAGTTGTCTAATTGGTTGGCATAAAGTTGTTTATAATTTTTCCTTATAAATCCTTTTAATTTCTATAGGATAGTGATGTTTCCTGATTTCTGTAGGACTGACAGTGATATTGTAGTAATTTGTGTCTTCTCTGTTATCTCGTCAATCCAGCTAAGAATTTGTCAATTTTATTAATCTTTTCAAACAAAAAACTCGTGGTTTCATTGATTTTCTCTATTGTTTTTGTTTCCTATTTCATTGATTTCCACTCTAATCTTCATTATTTCCTTTCTTCTGCTTGTTTTGGGTTTAATTTGCTCCTTTCTAATTTCTTAGGGTGGAAGGTTAAATTATTGATTGGAAGTCTTTCTTCTTTTCTGATACAGGTATTTAAAGCTATACATTTCCTTCCAACCACTCTTTAACTGTATCACATAAATTCCATTCAGTTCAGAATATTTTAAAATTTCTTTTATGATCGACTGTTCCTTTAGAAGTGTGCTGGTTAACTGCCAGATATTTGGAAATGTTTCCAGTTTTCTTCCTATTGTGGATCTCTTGTTTCTGTCTGGCCAGGGAACATCCTTTTTATGATCTCAATCTTTTTAAATTTACTGAAACTTGTTTTATGGCTCAGCGTGTGGTCTATCCTGGAGAATGTTTCAGGTATACTTGAAAAGAATATGCGTTCTGGAATCACGGGGTAGAGTGTTCTATAAATGTAAGTTTGTGGTCAACTTGGTTGACAGTGTTGTTCAAGTTTTCTATATCCTTGATTTTTCTTTCTGGTTGTCCTATCAATTATTTAGACCGGACTATTCCAATCTCCAACTATTATTGTTGAATTGTCTATTTCTCTTCTTAATTCTGTCAGTTTGCTTTCTCTTTTTCAGGTGGGATATTTTCTACTGATCTATCTTCATTTATCCTTCTGCCATCCAAGTCTATTGGGCCTCTTTGTGTGTTTTTAATTTGTTATTTTACTTTTCAACTCTTTTTTTAGCCTCTGAGGAGCTGGAGGACAGCCAGCATAACCTTTTAGGGATAGGTCTGACCTGGAATCATCAGACTCTTCAATCACTGGGGAAATCCCAAGATTTTAGAGGTTACCTCTCAGGAACCAAGCGAGTGGGAGACCAAATTCTTTGGGTAAAGTTAAATTCTTTACCCCACACCACCATCTTCCTTCAACACTTCTAGCTTTTGGGACTAAGTCCATAAGGAAAGAAAGCCTTGGGCTCACACACCAGATTGTTATCTTATTTCACTGATTTTGAGATGCACCTTTTCTATCCATGTTATAATCTCTCTGAAACTGAAATGCATCTCACAACAGATGGCATGTTATAGAGAGCAGAGTTGTACGTAAGATAAATGTGCATGATACAACGGATGGAGTTCTAAATTTGAAGAAATACTGGTATCTTTACTGTCCCAACTTGCCTCAAGGCTCCACTTTTTCAGAGTTGGAACCTAGCTGTATACAATAAGAGTAATCATGTGGTTTCTTCCTCCTCAAGGGCAAGTGTGTGAAGTAAAAATGGACTCCAAATGGTTTCTCCATTGTGACCTCAAGCCATTGCCTCTCTAAACAGAATCATTGGTGAGGCCCTCTGGAAACTTATTTAAAATTTTTTTGGTAACCTGCTTTTAGATTTGGAAGACTGTCCTTTATTTTATTGCATCTAGCAGATACTTTTTGTGGTGTATGTTATTAGATTATGGTCACTCTATAGTTTTAACATAAAGACTCTTATTTTTGGCTCTTTTTGTTTAAACATTTGGTATGTTTCAGTAATGTGCATTATTCCACCCTTTCATAGAAAGTAATTTTTTTTTTTTTTGAAAAGTAACAATAAACACTAGGTGTTGCTATTTTGATTTAGAAAGTAGAATAAAAGTAGCTCAAAAGTTATTACTCTTATCTGTTTATAAAAATAACAATGGCTCTGGTATTTTTGTAGTCACAGGTAGCCAATGCTTACATCAGTAAGAACTCAGCAACGTTCAGATACTCTACATCCTTTGGTTGGGTATGAAGAAATCAATCTTTTCTTTAAAAAAAAACTACTCAAGGTTTGCAAAAAAGTTAAAATTAAAAGACAAAGACTGTCATGTTGAGTACATTATATACGCAAGTAGACGGATCATCACGAATGTAGGTTTATTTCGTTAAAAAACAAAACAGATTCACCCCTCAAAGAGCACTGTATCATTTAGAGCAGCAGCAGTCCCAAGGCACGTACGTACGAAACACCTCAAGCAAAATAGAAACGAAACAGTTAAAAATACTGTGTGTAATTTAAAAAGACGTTGAAGACCACCATTTGTTAATATGAACATCGGTTAGAAAAATGACTTTTCCTTCTTTTACAATTTTATTCCTTTACCGTTAGTTGCTAAGAGGAGTAACAGTGTAATAGTTATGCGCTATCTTGTGGCACATACCACACACTTTCAAGCCATTTAACTTGGTCTGCTCAAGAAAAAAACAGCTAAAGTACAGCTTAAAAATTTTATTTTTAGTACTTTCACATCTTTTTTAGATATCTGGAATTCGTACGCTTAAAAAAAACCCTCATTTTTCTTAGCTTAGTAGCTATATGTCCCTAGGCAAACCCACTATACAAAAAAGGACTACATTCAAGATATTCTAAAATACTAAAGACATGATTTGTAATTTGCAATCCTCACAATAATCCTCTTCCTAAAACATTAGAAGTCAACACATAATAAATGTAAAGGTCAACTAAATATATTAAAATAAAATAGTATTTGATTTAAATTATTGCTCACTCAGGACATATAATGAATATCCTCTGGTTAGGGATGCTAAGATTAGCTGTTAGAAATGGCCTAACATCAACATTTAGTGTATATAAAAATTCTTTTATAATGAAAAGTTTATAATAATCACACAAAAATTGTCCCTTTATATATTAGCCACCATTTAGCTTCACATGATGAAGACTGGAAAACATGTGGTTGAATTTGTTGTTCAGTAATAAATCTTGTATCATGTGTACTGACTTCAATGTCTCAAAGTCATTTTTTATATGAAATGGGGCGTTAAGGAGTGCTTACAGACTCTTCACTATTAGAAGGGAGAAACGAGACACTGAAGGTCCAGTTTTAAATGACAACAACAAAGCATATAAAACACTAGTACAATAAAGCGTTTTAAATAGTACTAAATAGCACAATTTAAATACCAGTTGGACACTGCCATTAGTTTCCCTCTTAAAAAAAAACAATCAGGTCCTGGGCTTCTAGCTGTGTTTTCTTTTTAGAAATAATAAGCATCCTCCTCACAGTCACCATTTGGTCTGTATCCACGCCGTAGATGTCCACACGCTCTCCTTTATGTTCTCGGTGGCCAGCCTGAGGTCTCCGAGACGCCCACACTCCACAGTGACCCAGAGGACTTCTGGTTTCTTGTGTGGAAGGCGTCCACCAGGCCCTGAGACGCAGCCTAGAGCAGAATGGCCTGGGCCACCTCTTTGATCGTGGACGCGGCTTTCTCCAGCTCTTCTTCTGTTTGCTCCACTGTGACCACAACTCTAATGCTGAGAAAGAGAGGATGACACAGAAAATTACCAAGTGACAGCCTATACCAAGATGCGTCATCTCTGGCCTGGGAGCCACATCCAGCCCACCACTTGTTTTTGTCAATAAAGTTTTATTGGAACACAGCCCTGCTTGTTCGTTACATATTGTCAGAGCTGCTTTGCTACCACAATGGCGGCACTGAGGGGTTGTGACAGGAATCCTATGGGCTGTAAGCCTAAATATCTGCTCTCTGGCCCTTCACCTAAGAAATCTGCCACCCCCTGGCCTATATCGTTCGTAGGTGTCTAGTCAGAGTAACCTGGTGGTAGGAGGCAGAAAACTTCAAGCTTTCAGAAAGCTGAAAATAAGACAAAGCTTGACAGGGCAATACTACCTCTTACTGCTTCCACTTTAATTTGCAGACATCTTGTTCTTCCACTGGACGAGTGTCCACTGAGCTGTACTGAGCTAGGCATGGAGCACAGAGGGCCACAAAGCAAGCGATGCTCCTGTCCTCATGAATCTGTGGTCTCATGCTGGGATAAGTGCAATGAAAAACGAGAGGGGCATCCCTGACAGGGACACAACAGAGAGTCCCGAACAGAAGAAAATGTAGAACAGAACCCAAATTCATGTAAAAAGACCAGACTTAATGGTCTGACAGAGACTGGAGGAATGCCCGAAACTATAGCCCCCGGACGCACTGTTAACCCAGAACTGAAACCATTCCCGATGCCTACTTTTCAGACAAAGATTAGAAAGGCCTATAAAACAATAATACACGTGAGGAATGTGCTTCTTAGTTCAATCAGATAAAGAGACAGCTCCTGTCCAAAAGCAGGGTGAGAAGGCGGGAAGGGACAGGAGCTGGCTGAATGGACACAGGGAACCAGAGGTGGAAAGGGGGAGTGTGCTGTCACATTGTGGGGATTGCAACCAATGTCGCAAAACAGTATGTGCATAAATTTTTAAATTGAGAAATTAACTTGAGCTGTAAACTTTCACCTAAGGCACGGTTAAAAAAAAGAAAAAATGCGGGGGGCAGGATCTGTAAGGTACTTTCCAGGCCTGCCAGTGTGGTCTTCCAAAGCCCAAGACTGGCACTAGGAGCCTGCACAAGGCCCACACTCCCTAGTGAGCACGTCCCTGATGTGGCGTCTGCTCCTGCTCCAGGCTCACTCCTTCCGTATCCTTGTGGCTTGTGCTTTGAGCTTCCCAGAGGCACTTGCAGGTCTTGGAACCATGGTAAACCCCAGGGCAAAGCTCACAGCAGCCATCTCTGGAGTGCCACAATGCTCACTGTCTCCTGACAAGCACATCCTGGTTCTCCAGGCTCAGCTGAAGCAGCACCTGCCCCAGGAAGCCGGTATCCTCCCAGGCCAGAGCCAGCCCTGCTCTCCTCCTTCTGTGACTGTGCTGACTCAGGGCTGTGGCCCTGAATGCTTCCGGGCTTGTGTGCCTAACCCCCCGACTATGCTGGAAGCTCCTTTGGTAACTTTCACCTTCAGTATGTTCTGGGTTTAAAACTGAATCGAGGCACATTCTCACACGGGGCTTCTTGAACCTTTACAGCTGTCCCCACTGCTGTTTGCTCCACTCCAGGTGTTTCAGTCTGTTTGCTGGGTGAAGGGCCACAGAGTGCTCTGGCCAGCAGAGGTGATGGCGGCCACAACCCGGGTTGCTTTGTGCCAGAAGCTGCTGGTGCAACACGTGGGGCTCTGGGTACACGGCAGACGTGCTGAGTGGAGCTTCCGTCTGACCCAGTGACTCTTGGGGTCCTGGACACTTCTTTAGGCTAACTAGGGGGCTACATGTGAGTCCTGAGGGGCTTTTCAGCTAGAATGTGAAAACACCCAGTGTAAGAACAGAAAATAGGTGAGGTACTATATTTTAATGATGAAGACATTCTTCCTCATCCTGTGATAGTCTTGACATTTTCAAACACAATACATTTCATGCAGACTTTGTCAGAAAAAGAAAGGCTGTGTCTGAATGTCAACCCACCTCGGAGGAGGGAGGCACTTCTCTTCTTTCTCCAAGTAGCGCGCCTGCGTTAACGCGATGCTTCTGTTCATGCACTGAGTGAAGAAAAAGGATACATTTGCAAGCCGAACGAACATCAGACACTGTGCTCATTCAAACCGGAAGAGACACGGAAACGCTAGCCCTCCACAGCAGTTTTAACTCATTTTTCCAATTAGAACTGGTAGGAAACAAAACTCAAATACCACAACATAATCTAGAGCAGCAATGGTCTCCAGAACTCTCTGCAAGGACAGCTGTGTTCGTTCTGCTCTGTCCTGTACGGCAGCCACCTGTCACATGTGGCTACTGAACACTGAGATGTGGCTAATGCAACCGGGAAGCTGAATTTGTAATTCTGCTTACGTTGCATTAATTTAATTAGTCGCAGGTAGCTAGTGGCCACCTAATTAGACAGAGCAGTTAGAACACGTGGAAATGGGATGAGCGGAGCCCTGAAGGCTAACCAAGCGAAGAGCTAAACACAGAACTACAGTGGCAGGACTGCTTCAGAGGATGGCCGGCAAGTCAAGGTTAGCCACGACTACTGAAAAATTCTCTGAGAGAGAGAGCGGAGCCACGACTACTGAAAAATTCTCTAAAAGAGAGAGCGGAGCCACGTACTGGCCGTGGAGGTCTCTTTCTGGCGTGATAAAAACACTCGGCCATCAGATACTGCTGGCCGCACAACCTCGTGAATGCACTCAAAACCACTGAACTGCGTACTTGAAAAGGGTGAATCTATCGTATGTGAACTATCTAAATTAAAAAAAAAAAATCAGAGCAAGGGATGGTAATATACCATTGCCTGACAGGAGGGAACAATTCTTCCAAGTCCCCGGGAGTGAAAGCATTTGCTTGAATAGAGTGTACTTTGTAAGCAGGTTTTTCCCTGCTAGGAAGAGATGAAGACAAGGCCAGGCAGTGATCACAGATTCTGGCTGATTACGGATTCTGGAACTGCGCTTGGAAAAGCGAACTCCTGAAAATGTCTGTGCTGGCTCTGTTTCTAGCCCTGGCTGGTTAAGAATCGTTCTAAACCATAACCTGGAGTTGGTAAAAACAGTGTTTTGTCGAGCAACTCGACATGAGCTTGGCAAAACCTCTCAGTTCTGCAAAGCTTAACCAGGAGTTATAGTACGCTGATTCTTTTCTCCCACTCCAATATTGGGTGGGGTGGGGGGAGAGTAAAACAAAGTAAGATTTTGAAGTTGCCAATAGTTATTATATTTAAGACAGAAGCGGTAACTATGCAAGTAAGTTACAAATGAAAAGTTTCCAGAACAGTGTTTGTTCCCTACCCCAGACCCCGCTCTCTTCTCACTAAACCCTCCAGATGATTTCGTTATGACGGTCGGCCTCAACGGCCCACAGGTATCATCCTGGGATCTGTGGGTTCTCCATAAGGTTCTCATTTCCTCTTTGCTGAGGACTGTCTACTTCAGCAGGGCATGTTATGAAGTCCTTAATTCCCAGACCGTCCTAGTGTCTCTCTGGAACAAAGAAGCAGTCAGCCTTTAACTGCCGCTACACAGTGAAAACGGGATGGAGCTGGATTCCACGAGGACTCCATCCACCAGCACCTGGAGAACCCGGCACCAGGGAGCACGGCGTGTGTGTGGCTCACAGCCCTGAGCTGGCTCGGTGGAGACTCGGGGGGAACGATGGATACACTTACAGGGACCTGCTCCACAAGAGTCAGGCCCTAGGGGTGATCAATTAAAAAACACAAAACCACAACACTCATCTGCCACACTCAGGTAACAGAATGAATCTGCATTTAGTTTACTGGCTTGTTCTTTTAGTTCGTATTTAATTTACGAATCTGTTTTGGTATTACATTTGTGTGAGAAGTCTAATCACAAGAATACGATACCTTTACGTTTGTACAGATTTAAGCAACGTTACAATAAAAACACCAAGACGGTAAAGGGGTCTGTAGGACGCTTTCCCCCCTTTGAAGAGCATCTACCATTTTTCAAGTCTGCAAAGCTGTGCCTGAGGGGACATCTGTGACATTTCCTCACCCAACAACACAAGAGTCACTCCTGATAATCCATAACTTGACATGTTTTCTGAATTAGGAATCTCACATTCTGAGTTTGGTTTTATTCTTATTTTCTAACACCACTGACTCCAGAAGGCCACAAACTGCGTGATGCTCCCGTGAATCTACCATTGCAGACCGTGTGGTTCAAACACTGTAGGGCACAGGCTGGCCGAAGCAGGCTTGAAGCCAGAGGCTGGCTGCACGTGCTGGTCCCCACACTTAACAGCCAGGTGTCTGTGGACCAGGATGTGACAATTCCCACCCCCCTACCCCACACACAGGTCGGGGGCAGGCAGGCACTGAAGTCCAGAGATGCTGGACGGGTGGAGCCCGGCACGGGCCGCACACGGAGAAGGCACCAACAGGTGGCGCCATCATTGCTGTGAGACCCCACCTGGCAGCCTGGGGTCGGAGCAGGAGCCTTTGGGAGGAATCCTTAGCAGGACGAGGAAGCAAAACGGTACATGTTCTCATTCTAAACTACATGTGACATGCATTTCAGGTTCAAGCAAAAGGCGCTGTCACCGCACGGGAGGCATGTTTACAGGGGGCAGTGCCCCTTCACATTTGTTAAAACTGCACGGAGCCAAGTCAGAGAGGAGGGCTTGAGATGCAGCTCCGCTGGACAGAAAGAGCACGGGGTTTTCCACAGCAACACGGTTCTTAGTAACTCAGTTCTAACTAGTGGTAAAATAATTTTCAGAAGATTTAAAAAAAATAAAAATAAAAAACTGAGTAAACGTGTCATTTTACGCATGTTAAAGAAGTGGTTTTGTCTTCCTCCCATCCTGACTACAAGCGTGCCCTGACTTCAGGACTCTGATCCTTGCAGGGTAGCTGATAACCTATTTTGGAGCCCCGCTGGGGTAACCTTCCAGACCAGGAGCTGTCTGTCGTGCCTGCAATGGCCAGACACCATGCCTTCCCAGCTACAGCCTACGACTGCCTGGCTTTGGGAATGGTGAACAATGAAATTTCCGTAGGCTCATTATTTGGGATAGACGCAAAGTTATTCAGTACAACGCCACACAGAACACGACTCTGGCGGCCGATCAGAGGAACCAGAGGCTGTCACGACAGACGCGCCATAAACCTAACCGGGCAGAGCCAGACGTCGGGAAGGACCGTGAGCGCCAGAAAAGGTCCGTGTCAGAAGAGGGGCGACTGGCAGCTTCCTCCGTATCTTCCCTCTTGAGGCAAAGAGGTCTTTCTTACAAACGATGTTTAAAAAATTGCTTGCAGTGGGAATAAAAATAGGGTGGGGAGAGTCACTTAGACAACTAGATACTTACTTGACTGACAATTTCCTGAAGGAGTTTCACATCTCTCTCTCGAGACCCAGTGCTCTTTTCTAGCTGCAGGTGAAATGCTGGAGAAAACGACTTCCCCACCACTTTTAATCCAGAAATGCTGAAGGGGGGAAACACACACACACATTAATCCCTTCCGGGTGCTAAGAGATCTCACGCATAAATAACTCAACAGGGTCTGCACTGGAGAGGCCCGCTGCATGTAACAAAACTTGGGACGTTTACTGGAAGCATCACAGTATCCGCGGTGGAACTCCAATTGTGACACACACAAAAAAAAAGGTAAAAATGCACACTCTGGACAGCTTGGTCATCTAGGAGCACCTCCTGCAATGCTGTTTCTGTGAGCAGATCCTTTTGTCTCTCATTTCACAAGAGAAAACACGAGTCACCCCGAGCTCTCCACTAGGAAGTCTACCGGGCCCTGCTACCTCGCCCACCGCAGCTTGTGAGACTGACCTCCTCACACACCTTCTCCCAGGCCACTCACCGCGGGGCCTGGGCCCCTGTGGCCTCTGCCCGCAGTCGCCATATACGCCAGGTCCCAGGTGGAGTGTGACCTCCTCGGAGGGCCTTCCCTCACCACCCAGCCTAGCAAAGGGCCCGCCCCATCATATCCTATCATCTGCCCCGTCTGTTTCCTTCACAGAAACAGATCTTCTCGTTCCGTATTTCACAGAAACATGGGCTACTTGTTACAAGGAATGATGTTATGCTTCCTCGCTTATTATTTAAGTCTTTAGTTTGTACCTTGTATTCTCATAAATTACGGGGATAAGTTAACATTACAAACACTGTATTTTGATCACCAGCAACGTGTTTAAGTTTCCTTTTTCTTTGCATGTTCAGTTTTAAATTTTGCTTGAGTTAAGATTATTTTCCTCTTTCTTGTCTGCTGCTTTAGGGAAGACAGGTTTTTTCGGGGGAGGGGTGAAAACTGCTATTTTCAAACGATTATGACAGATGTCATGAGAACTATACGCCGTATTATTTAGTCAGGTTCCTTTAAAGTCCATTTTACCCCACAATGAAAACACTGATTTCTGACTTATCTCCTAAGACACAGATGATGTCACATGCCTATGTGAAATTAAGCTACGTAGATTGCATTCATTTAGCTTGTTTTACCTGCAAAGATCTGTCTGTCCCGTAGAATGAAATCAGCACAAAAAGTATGAAGTAGCGTATCGATTCTGACCCATAGTGACCCTACAGGACAGGGTATAACTGCCCCATAGTTTCCAAGGAGCGGCAGGTGGATTTGAACTGCCAACCTTCTGGTTAGCAGCCATAGCTCTTAATCACTGTGCCACCAGGGCTCCAAACCACCCATAAGCATTATTAATTTGTGTGTCTTTCTTTAACTGTAATATGTCATGTTAAGATTTCTCAGTAAACCAGGCTGCAGATTTGAATCATGGAATCTTCTGGAATGTGGGGGAACTTTCTAGATTAGTTCTTTTACTAATGTAGAAATAAGCCATATACTTTCAAAACTCATTTTCTATGTAATTTTTGGATGCATTAAACTTGCACCCAAAAAAATTGGTAGTTTTTTTAAGGTCATGTACTTCCAGAGGAGAACTTAAAAATTTGCTGTTCAAATAGCACATATGAATCAAACAGCCTGGACTTTCCTTAATACATACAAGGCACCCCAAGCCCACTCTAGCTTGTGCTTTGATAAATGGGCTCATCTCACAGGCTGGGCAGGGTAGGCCAGTGGGAGATGAAATGAAACAAAATGCCCTATTTTTGTCTGCCTAGATTAAAGTTTAACTAAAACCAAATGGACACACGAGTTTTAGCTGGAGTTCAGAAACTTAGAAGCTGTATTTCAGAGCCTATTACATGCCACAGAGAAACATTTTGGAGAATCTATATTACTTTATCCAAATGGGTAAATATCAAGCACAGGGCTAGGTGTTAGTGACAGGACAATCAACAAGACAAACCTGGTCTCCCTTCTTTTATGCCTACAGTCTAGGAAGAGAGTTAGACAGAAATAACTAGGTTCCATCTGGGGGATCTTCAGGTTTCTGACCAAGGGGCAAACCAGTAGAGGCTTCTGACTTCCTCTCTCAAACTCAGTCTTAGAGATGAGAAGTGAATTACTGATGAGAGGGAAATTTAAAAATTACTTAGAACTAAACATTGAAACTATTACCTGTGAAAATGTCTATCTTGACATATATTTAATGGAAAAAAAGAAACAAAACCAGTAAGCTAAATTCAGCTATAAAAGAGTACGAACACAAATGGAAAAGAGAGAAACAGAAAATAAAATGGGAAAGTGCAGACCCCAAAGAGATAATCATAGCCTACCCCTCAACCCAAAGGCCCCGAGCCTAGAACGCCTTCAAGGAGAGTCCTGCACAGCTTTTAAGAAGCAAACAATGAAGCCTTGTCTTGTGCACCCGCTCCGTAAGGCAGAACGGGTGGAAAGGCTGCCCAGTTATTTACTGAGGCTACTACGATAACGTTGCTTTCTATGTTATGTAAGGTTGGTGTAACAAAAGATTAAAGGTCCATTTAAAATTGAAAGTATGGATATAAAAGTTCAAATTAAAACAGTCACTAAATAAATCTAAACTCATTGCCACTGAGTAGATTCCAACTCACGGTGACCCCATGTGTTAAGAGTAGAACTGCTCCATAGGGTTTTCTTGGCTGTAATCTTTACAGAAGTGGATCGTCAGGCCTTTCTTCTGTGGTGCCACTGGGCGGGCTGGAACCGCCAACATTTAGGTTACCAGTCAAGTGCAAACTGTTTGTGCCATGTGGGGACCTTTAATAATAAATAAAACTGTAGAAAAATATACTGTAATCAAGCATGGGCTACCTCCAGTTCTTTAGTGAAGAAATGATTTTATCCTGGGAGTAAAAGAAGGATGCCTGCTATCACTACCACCGTTTAATAGAGGGCTGGAGACCTTGGTCAATGCAGTAAAGAAAAAACAGCAGTAAGATGTCAAAGAATTGGGAGAGGAAGAGAGAAAACCGTAACTGCAGGTAGTAGGATGTCCACGCACATGATCGTAACAGAATCAAACAAATTACCGAAACCAGCGAGAGCTCAGAAAGACTGCTGAATAGATCAGTTCAGAGAAATCAAAAACCAGCAATCATCAAGCACAAAATATAAAAGACAACCCCTTTCACAACAGTAACAAAACCTATAGGATTATCTAGAAATCTCCCTGAAAGGTCTCATAAAGGTAAAAGGGTTTTGTGGAGAAAAATGTTAAATCCCACTAAAGGACACACGAAAGAAGATCCGAGTAGGTGGAGAGATCATGTCCATGGATCGTAATTCCCTGCACATTAACCGGAGAACTGAATCCACTTCCAATGAAAATTCCAGCAATATTTCTAAAGGAACCTGAAATCACTGCAAAACATACATGGTAGTAAGAACACATACATTAACGAGAACAGAGTCTGAAGTTTGAGGGAACGAACCAATCGCAACAGAAGAGACAGTACAAAAACAGATCCAGGTGTAAATCGGGAACTGACGTCCAACGGAGAGAGTACCACCGAACAGTAGAAGAAAGGATATGGTGTCTGGAAACCGACCTCATTGGTCTTAAACAACCCTCTGCTGACCTCGTTCCTTCCTCAGGCCGCCACCCCGTTTCCGCACCTCTTCATAGCAATATCCAGCACATCCAAGCTGTGTTCAATCCCTCTCTTCCCACTCTCTCCTGAACCTATTTCCATCAGGCCTTGTGCCCCCAGCACACTACTGAAGCTGCTCACCAAGTCACCAATAACCCTGTGGGATGGAATCGAAGCATCACTTTGCAGATACTGGCAACAACCGACACTTGAGCACCTTCTCCCCCTGGATTCCAGGACCCCGGCTGCTGCTTCACTGGCCAGCTCTGAGTTCTCAGTCTCCTTTGCTGGTCCCTCCCCTCTTCACACCGTCACGCCTGTATATACAGCTGCTGCTCCTCCCTACCTGCTGTCCAATGGACAGCTCATGCTTAACACAGCCGACACTGAGTTTCCCCCAATGAACGTGTCTTTTCCACAGTTCCACCCACCTCAGTCCCTAACAACTCCATCTTTTTAGATGCTCAGACCAAAAGCCTTAGACCAGCCTTGAGTCTTCTCTTTCTCTCTCATCCCACATATCCAGGTAGCTGGCTTTACCTTCACATCCAGAATCCAATCCCTTCTCGCTGCCACTATCAAGGTCAGAGTCACCTACCTGCGGCCGGCATCATTGCAACAACCTCCTAACTTGTCTCCCTGCTTCTGTCCTTGCCCCCCCCAACAATCCAGCTCGTCACACTACACCAAGAGTCGTTTTGCTAAGACCTAACTTAAGTCACGTCACGGCGCTCTTTCATCCAAAACCATGCCACGGCTTCCTGTCTGAGAGTAGAAGGCCAGGTTCCTGCCGTGGCCTACAGAGCCCTGGATGGCTGCCCTCTACCTGGCCGTCACCTCACTGGATCCCCCCGCTCTCACGCCTCTGGCCACACTGGCCCTCACCTCACCGGATCCCCCGCTCTCACGTCTCTGGCCACACTGGCCCTCACCTCACCGGATCCCCCGCTCTCACGCCTCTGGCCACACTGGCCCTCATCTCACCGGATCCCCCCGCTCTCACCCCTCTGGCCACACTGGCCCTCACCTCACCGGATCCCCTCGCTCTCCTGCCTCTGGCCACACTGGCCTCCTTGCTGTGTTGTCTGCTGTTCCCTCTAGGCATCTAGATACTGCATGATTTGCTCCCACACATCCTTAGTGTGTTTAGTGAGGTGACTGTGGAGTCACCCAAGTGTAGATCTGAGTGTAAGAGCTGGAGCCCCTGGAGCAGCACAGACTGGAGCCACAGCATATTACAGGTGTCACGAAATGATAGGAAGCTGAAGGCACTTCTCCCAGGAGGTTACAGAGAAGGAAAGAGGACCAGGACTAAGCCTGAAGAGGAGGGTGCTGAAAGAAAGCCTCCAAAGACCAGGGTGAGGCAATCAAGAGAGGCAGGAGAAGAACCGGAAGTGTGGTGTGACAGATTCCAAGTAAAGAGCTGCAGGAAGGCCAGCGAGGTCAATGGTGCTGACGGTGACCAGGGGACCAGGCAAGGCCACACCACTGGTGACCCTACAGGAGCAGTTCAGATGAAGCTTAAGAGTGGAAGCTGGACCTCAGCAGCTTCACATGTAAATGGGAGATGAGGATGTGGAGAAAGCAAAAACAGCTCTTGAGAAGATGACAGAGGAAGGCAGGGGCTTGGGGAGGCTGCTAGAGGGGAAGGTGGGGTCACGGGCAAGAGGGATTCAGAACAAGAGAGGAGAGTGTGCCTGAGTGCCAGGAAGGTGGGGTCACGGGAAAGAGGGATTTAGAACGAGAGAGGAGAGTGTGCCTGAGCGCCAGGAAGGTGACCTGGAAGAGGGGAAGGTGGGGTCACGGGAAAGAGGGATTTAGAACAAGAGAGGAGAGTGTGCCTGAGTGCCAGGAAGGTGACCCAGGAGAGGGGACAACCAAAGGCACACAGCCCTTAAGAAGGAAGGCCTGTGACGGCTGGGGGAACATTTTTCAGCGACCACAGGAAGGAAGGCTGTTTAGACACTGTAGGCGTGCAGATCTGCTAGGGAAAATGAGGGCGTTCCCATGTGATAGCGTGAGGCAAGGACATGAGCTGAAAGTGGACGGAGCAAAGGCAGAGGGTTAAGGACTGGGGAGAAGAGAAGATGTGTGAGAGAGCTGGGGAAAGTGGAAGACTGGGCTTATAAACACATTAACACTGCCAGAGTGAAGGGCGTTTGAGGGTGGTGGTCATGAACTTACAGGGACTCCTGTGTGCCAGGCTGTGTTAGCATATTAATATTTCATGCAATCAGTGTAACTGGAACCAACACAATTAGTATCTCTCTACCACGAATCATGCAGGAACTTTTGTCACTACCATACAGACACACCCAGAACTTTAACTGTTTCTGCCCCCACTTTATCTCAACAGCTGTGATCTACTCACTGGTCAATTATTCTTTTCTTACTGTAAAGTCTCTAGGGTCCATATCTGGTAAGAGAGAGACAGGACTTTCACGACTGAAAAGGTACTTTTGACCTTAGGAAAGGCAAAAAAGAAACACCTGGGGCAAAGCGAGAGATTTTCTGTAAGATCAGAAATCTGCCTGAATGTCACCCGCCTCAAATTTTCCTCAACTCTACAGAAATCTTAACGAGCTACTACTCTTTTACAGTTTAAAAAAGAAACTTTCATAAAGTTCCGTCAATTTCACTTGATTCTTTCTCTGGTATTAATTTAAATAAAACAGAATCTAGTAATTTATTAAAAAGTAACAGAGAGTATGGACTCAGTTATTTAATGATATCGTATGTGAGTATGCCCTTTTACCCGTGTAGACTGGAGAGATTCTCCAATGTTTACCCTGGTTATTTCTAGCGGTAAGATTCTGGGTGATTTGCTACTTCCAGCTTTGCATCTTCTCTATTGCTATGATATTTTATTAATGAGCTTATATCGTTTTTACAAAAACAAAGTCACGAGCTGTTAAAATAACAGCAAAGCAGATGGTCTGGTTTTACACAAACAGACCAATTTCAGTGAATCAGGTTTTTGGTCTCTTAGTTCCAAGTCAATCAAACTGACCTCAGCCTATCAAATGTTCTCAGAACCAACGAGGTTTGCACGAGTTCTTCAAACGTGGTGCAGATGAGCTTTACACTGGTAGAAAACACAGAAAACTTACCCTTGTAATGCTTTATGAATTTGCTCGCACTTTTCCTTCAACACTGCAAAAATACCTGTGTGAAAAAGAATATCTTTGGTAGTTTATTTGGAACATTTGACAGCACTCATCTAAAAAAGATTCTTAACGGCCCAGTTCAAGTTCATCCACTTAAAATGCGGCCAATCCTTCCGCATGATAAACAGAGAGCTGTAACTCACACTCCTCCATGGGCCTGGGCTTTCGTCTCTGGCACCTGGGAACCCAGCGCCTCCTTCCCTTGCTGCCCCGCTTTCGCCAGCCTCCGGGATGGGGCTCTCCAAGCAAAACAGGGGCTCTGACTGTTACTGAGAGTCTACAGGTAATCTAGATAAGGGGGTTGGGAGTAACAGGGTGCAGACCTATTACACTTCTCTCTGGACCCCAAACAACTTTGTAAAAAGCAGACACTAGAGTAATTTTTATACTGTTTCCTTTGTATTTTCCTTTTGTTCAAGGAAAATTCAAAAATCAAAATATCTAATCCTATCTCCAGGAGGTGAGAGTGTCAGGTCGTCTGGAAGCGAGCATACAAATGTGCAGACAAACATCCACAGGCTCTGGCTCCAGAAATTAAAATCAACATTGAAAATTCAGAAAAAGAACTACGAGGAAAGGCCTGCTTCTCCCTTTGTGTTTCCAGTGTTGGTGACTTTATCACACTAAAGCCACATCTTTAATTCACAGCTGACGTTTTATTTTGTCAAAACAGCCCCTGGGTTTAGAGTCATTATTTTATAGTCAAAATTTTATTCTCGCTGGGCAATTGTCAGAAAACTATTAGCTAGAAAGAATTCTTGTAAAAATTTGTTCACAAGAAAGAGCTGGGCTTCAAACTGAATGTAAATGAATAGTAAAATGAAATCCTTTGAAAAGAGGCAAAATGTCTTCAAAGTTTAAATGTTTTGGATTTTTAAAAATTAAAGATCAAGTTAAGTGTTTTTCATTTCCTCATAGAAGGCTAATACTGGCATACTTAAGGGAAAAAAAGGGATATTATGAAGTCCAGAAAAATTTCATGTTTAAAATCTTTTGTTGGTACACAATGGGGAAAGTAAATAATGTCACTGAATAATACATGTAAAAATGGTTGAAAAGGCAAAAATTTTGCTGTATGTATTTTGCCACAATTAGAAAAAAAACTTCTGTTAGGGAAAGGAGGGCAGAGGCAACAGTGAGCACAAGATCTGTCAAATTACACCCACTCTTCACTTATTGACATGGTTAGGTTCCAAAGACCAGGTCGTTATGTGAAAATCGGCGTTATGTGAACACAGAGGATGACTACGTCAGATCACAAAATGCAGGATGACTACATCATTACATAACTGCCAAATTACATCTTTACATAACTGCCAAACCACTGAGAATCACAGCCCAGCCAAGCTGACAAACAACCTTGACCATCACAGCCAGCGTTACTCTTGCCTCACACCTCAGGATTTAATACTGCCAGACATATGTCGTTAATGTACAAAATAGCTGGACAGTAGATTTTTCCTGTTGTTGTAAATGCGAAATGTCAGATAATGAGACAGCTGGTAAGTGAGGAGTGGGTGTACTGCTGTAAGAGCCTTCGCATCTATTTCATAAAGATATAAATTGTCTGTTGTAAAAGCAACATGACTTGAGGGCAGCATCTTCCGTGAATTAGGACACGTGACTTAGGATTGCAGCTCTTTTGCTGGAGGTTTCACAGGCAGTTAGTGGCTTACCCTTCACCTTTCTGCTCCTTGGTTCCTTTATTTTCACAACAGGGAACTACCTAATTTATGCTGTTTCAGTCAGGGTATTTTCTTCTTTGGTATTATGCTAGTAACTGGAATTCCAAAAGTAAATGGAACAGCATTTCCTCGATGATCATTATTCTGTGGTCAAACTCAAGAATCTGACTTCTAAAAATAGTTTGCTGTTTTAATATTTTTTTTGGTACAAATGAGATGGAAGCCTGTAACTTCATTTCAATAAACCCTGTCCCATAAGGGCCTGCTAAGAGCAGAAGAGAGCGGGCGCGCCAAGCAGGTTCTGCTTTGGTGGAGCAGGTTTGCCTCGGTACCAAGTGATACTTCAAAGGTGAAGGGAAAACCAGACAACAGCTATAAAACCACAGATGCCAAAGAGCGGCACACTTTACCCAGTTTCTCAACCAAATATAAACCAAACGACGAGGGGGACTTTTTTCGGGAATGGGGATGTTTAGGAGGATACTCCGCCCTCTAGCGCCTCCCAGCAGCGGACGGAGTCAGCCATGCTTTTACTCTAGCTCTGAGAACAAGAACCCCTGAGGCAGGGACAATGTCTTCCCTGACACTCTTCCAATAGTGCCAGGTGATATAACCGAGAGCCAGAGTTTTGTCTGGTAAATAATCTCCGCTAGCTAACTCCTGCAGAGAGCCGGCCAGCCAACGTGACTAAGACAGCCCGAGAGCTCTCTGATTTCCTAGTTTAAGAGACGATACCTGGATTCTCTTCCATGATGTTGAGAGCCTCAATTGCAGCAGCAGCTAACAGGGGAGGTAACGAAGCTGAGAAGCAGTAGCCCTGGCCGGAAAGTCTCTGAAAAGAAACAAAACAAGTTCACAACATCAACACACTTCTCTGTCTTTTTTGGGTCAGCATTCTGCAAGCAGTGAGTCCCCGTACCACCTACTAACCAGCGTGCACGAAGGGTGATGTGGAAAGATCCAGGCATGGGGAAAGTTACATGTGGAATAGAATCAAGAATTTTTTTGTTTTTTTTTTTAAAGGGAGATAATTTTTAAATATAAATATTTAGACTTTTATATTTAGAAGTTACATTTTGAGGCGACCAATGAAGCAGTTTCAGTTTATGGTCTTGTAATCCAAAGAAGCCTACCTGGTGGTCAATTACAAAAGACCTGCCACAGCAGAAGCCCCCGACAGAAGCAAGGGAGTTCTCCATGTTTGCGCTGATGAGATCGATATCATCAATCTGCCAGAAAAGGCGGACACAATGGTGGTTACTCCTCAGTAAAGAAGAAATGGTCATGTCAAGCCCAGAGACAAAACTCCAACACTGATCACGTTTACTGACATCTGGATTCAAACAGACTGCTTATGCAGACATCAAGGGCAAACCACAGAATCCATCGCTAAGGGGATGGCTGCTTCAAGACCTGTCTCCCGAAGTGTCTCTCTTTATGTTCTTTGTTTTTACCATTTTATCATGTGCTGACACTTACATTTGCACTGGAAGAGAAAAATTCAAAGGAGATAAAACCCAAAACTGTTTGCTGACAGGTTTTATTGAAAAGGAAACCACGCTGGTACCTAAGGGACAAAACGACTAATTTACTGGCTTCAAAACCACAAGACCACCAAAGTGACTGCCGCCGTCACCTCAGGAAGCAGAGGCCAGCGTGAGAACCCCCGAGGGTCATGGACTACAGCTACGCTGACGACCTGTGTAGACAGCAATCGCTCCGTGTGTTTAATGGGTCCGTGTTCTAAGCCATTTGCGAAGAAAGGCGTGACCTGTGTAGACAGCAATCGCTCCGTGTGTTTAATGGGTCCGTGTTCTAAGCCATTTGCGAAGAAAGGCGTGACCTGTGTAGACAGCAATCGCTCCGTGTGTTTAATGGGTCCGTGTTCTAAGCCGTTTAAGAAGAAAGGCGTGAACGCAGGTTACTGCGCGTCGCTTTGCGCCCTGTGTGTTCACACACACACACACTCAGACTTTCGTAAACGAAGGGCTGTATTAAAAATACTCACACGTACAACGTCAGAGTACTTCCTTGCTAAAAACAGTGGCCTAGCTGGCCTACTGCAGGGAAGGTAACTGAGATAAATAAAAATAAACTATCAAAATTTTAAGCACTTCACTCCTGCGTTTCAATTTACCTTCTTTGTATCATTTCAAAAATGAAATCGAGGTATCCAAACATCATGCCAATTGAATCTATGGCCAAACTGGACCAACTGGGCGCTGGATGAACCTGATGTGCCCTGGGGGCTCTGAGTTCCCACTACCTTCTCGGCTCCTCAGTGCTCCTCTGATCTGTGCCTTCTGCTCCAGTCCCCAGCACCGAGTCACATGCCAGGTGCCCAGGAGGCATCTGATGAATCCTCACTGATGGTCACGAGAATGACCGGCCAGATCCCAGCTGGTGGTGGGCTCTGCGTTCCAGAGACCCAACCCTTAAGGGCTCATGGATATTATCTTAGCGACAGATGCTGACAGCACTTCAAAAAATACAACAGTGACGTCATAGTGCCTTTTCCTTCTTTAAAATGTTTACGCCTTAAAAAAAATTGCTCTCTTGTACTGCTAAATGTGTTTGAACTAGATTTCCATTTACCTTAAATACCTCGATGCATTTAATTGCCAAACGTTCAGTTTGTCTTAGAGGAGTTTGCTTACATCTAACTTCGGGTGATATTCATTTGGCTCTGTTTTTCTGTAGAACCGATGGCAAGTAGGATGCAGATAATCTGTGGTGATTTTATATTTTGTGGTTCGACTTTGTAACACAGGCTGCAAAACTTTTATGTGCGTGTTTTGGAGAAAAAGCTTCCTTCACTCCACCACAGCACGGGGTGGTAGATGAAGACAAGCTGTCAGGACGGCCGACACCACGCTTCCCTCAGAGGCTCCGGGAGCACAGTCCGCACGGTGCTGCGGGCACTCTGCGATCACTTCCCTTCAGCAAAGGAAGACGTGTGTGACCCTGAGGGGCTTGGCTCAATCCCTGCCCCTGGCGTTTCTTAATAAATAAATATCAATCTCTCTCTCCCCCCCTCCCCAGTTGGCGCAAATGGTTAAACGCTGGACTACTAACCGAAAGGCCTGGCCATCTGCTTCTGAAAGGTCACATCCTTGAAAACCCTGTGGAGCAACTCTACTCTGTCACATGGGGTCACTGTGAGTTGAAATGAACTCGATGGTAGCCAACAACAACGTACATACATACCCGTGTATGTATGCCCATGTGTATGTACACGCACACCATCCGTGTATGTATGCCCATGT